TTACTTTATTAATGCCACATATTAACTGCCAACTGAGTACCAAAGCAAATCTGTGAAAACCTTCGGCTTTTCGTCGAATAAGATTGACCTGTAGACGTAACTTGTAAATGTCCTCCTCCATACTAGACGCCAGGTATCATGGCGAACTATGGCTTATCAATAAGAAGTTTTCTGTTTCTCTGTATGATATCGCTGATAGGTAGGGAAATGTTCCACATTTTACTGAGTTGAATTCTGAACTTCCCAAATTTTCTACAGTAAATTGTAGCCAAGATGAAAAACTATGTCTGAGTGATTTCGAGGTAAACGAGTGGTAAAATAATTAAAATCTCAGCTTTTTTTTAACAAATGACTTTAATTCTATATGCTTACTTGTTAGGGAGTGTTCTTTTAGGATCCTACATCTCTCGTACACTGCCAATATGCATTAGTCTCGCATGATGTGACAAGGACTGATGCTGATCCAAAAAGAGTGTTTGTAATTGCATTAACATTCAAAGTGACATAAGTCACAAAGACAGTCTCACTTGGCTCTCATCGAACCCGAATAGTTGCGAACCTTGGATTTGCGGATTTTGAGGCGCTACAATACACGCATTTCTCATATAATAATAAACAAAAGTAGTGCATTTTGGCGAAAATCGGCATCCTGGTGGAAGCAACCAAATGAATACGCGAACTTACAAGTCTTAAAACCTTTAGAGCCATTTACGCTAAGGCCTGTCTGTTCTGTCAACAGAGGAGAATAGCAACAAAATGCAAAACAATTTTTCTTGTACTTTTGGCACTCAGTCGTAGACGATTCTGAGGATAGCTTTTGTATCATCTGCTAAATGCCCCCTTCTTCAATTTTGTCCTGCACCCCTTAGCAAAGGTCTCCTACAAGGGTACTCATAGGCAAGGTCAGAGTTTCACGTTGAAAAGTGGGGAAAACGCCCAAATCTATCATTTTCAAGGCTTTCTTCTCACTCAGGCCAATGGTGGCGCCATCGCAACTGGGCTTGGCTCAAATCACTCTTCAAAGTTGACCCTATCGTGATCTGCAATGCTGTGTTTTCGTCTTCTGGGCAAACTGTGGCCAGTCCTTCAACGCTCGTCCGTCCTAAATGGACGCCTTCAATCTCAAGTCCCAGTTATTCAAGGCCCCTCCAGCACTCTGCATGAATCCTCTTGACTCCGACTCTCAGAATTTACTCAAACCCCTCCTCTCCACGAAGGCTGTTCCTCATACATCCTCGGTCACTCGACCCTCTGCCCTAGTTGTTGGGACGGGAACTCTTGAGCCCCTTGGCCGGCACTGTCCCCGGGCCTCAGACTCAACTGGCCCGAGATGCTCAACCACGTCAGTAAGTGGGAACTAGACGACCCGCTTGCGACTACGAGGTCTCACCAAGGCGCCCATGAGCAAGCTATGAAGCCATTTAACAATAATCTGGTCGTTTTCGCTATAACCGAGCTTCGAGATCTTCGATGATACTCACTTGACAACTTAGTCATGATAGATTGCGTCAGGTGATTTATGTGGGAAAGACTCACTGTCAACAGTTATGCGACAGAGGGCGAGCAAGTTCCTGTTCCCTAATTTTGTCCGCCTTTGTCGACTGATAATGCACTTTTGCCCACAATCATATGAATAGGACTACTATGAGTACTACTGCTGTTATTATTATAAACTCACTCTCCTCGTCGACATGCTCATACCTTTCGGATTGCGTTCCCTGACGTGTAGTAAAGGCCGTCTGAGTGAATTCGTCGAGGCTGAAAACTTGTAATCCCGCTTCCAGTTCCGGCCAGAGTCAATTGGGCCTAAGGATAAATGATACCAGTCGAGCCTATTTCCATTTCGGGTAGACGTGTGTGAGGAAGCGATTCGTAAGTCGATCTCACCAGAAGCCAGTTGTTGATT